TTTAGTTACTTGAAAAATCTTAATTTAAGATGTTAAAAGCATCTTCGTACACATTTTCTGTGTATTTTTGGGGCAAAAAGTTTTGAGGTTAACTATGGGCTCTTATGGAAAACACTTTATGTATCTTAGTTTTTAGTAATACTTACACTTATGGCGCATCTTACGATTCTTAAGTAACTTATCGCTAAACATCTTATTGCAACAGAAACATCTTAATTTAAGATACTTTAAAGAACTTACAAAAGTATCTTACTTTTCTAAGATGGAAGAAGTATCTTCATCACTGCTAAAACGTATAAAGCATCTTAAATATTAGTAAGATGCTTTAGAAAACATCTTATTTTAAGATGTAAGATAGCATTTTTCTATCTTACATCTTATTTTAAGATATCAAAAAAGACACCTATTTTTGCAGTGATTATAATAGAAGTAGTAGGTAGTATCCACTTTTGAACTGTCCATTATTCACCTTAAACTTCACTAACTTGTAAACTTGTAACTTCTTTTTTCCTAAAATTGTTGTTCAGTAACTGTTTTCCAAAACTAAACGTTTGCTTTATAGCCATAGGCTAACAAATTTACTCTTGCAATAATATTATTAATGCACACAAATTTAAATATTAGACAATATTTTTTGAGTCTAACTGGGAGATTTTTAATTATGCAATAAATTTTGTATTTTATCGACTTTTTGTATTAACTATTAAATTGTTTATATTTAGTATAGTTTGCTTATAAAAGAAATGTTAAAACTAATATTTTTCTTTTTGTCGCATAATTTATTTAATCCAATATATATATATATATACATAATAATTATCTCATTGCGTTGGAACGTAGAGAACTTTAATAAACCTCATTTGTCATTATGAATATTGGATTTCAAATGTTTTCAGTCACGGAATAAAAGTGGTAGGAATCGATTTTTCAGTAGCAAGATATATATATATATATATATATATATATATATATATATATAGTTTAGTCAGTCTTGTTATTTTTAATCTGTTATACCTATGCAATGTGAAAAAATGTTTGCGATTGCACAATAAATTTTAAAGAATTTTTTATTCAAGTCAAAAATTTCCTATCCGAACAAGTTTACTATCAAAAGCAAGAGAAATGCTTTTTTCTAAATAAAATAATTTTTACTTCTGTTATTCTAAATTTAGTTTCTTAGAAAAGCAGTGAAAGCTGCAGTATTTGAAATAAATTAATTCATTTGAAAAGTAATGTAATATTACATCCAAATAATGAGGGCGGAACATATAATAAAGTATATGTATACTTCCAGCAATGTATGAAAAGTTCTTAGAACTTTTATTGTTTGCATTTTGAAATTGTAATAAACAGTGGGTTGTAGGGAAACACACTAGACTGCGGCGAAATATACTGCAACTACATATATAACTACGGCTAATCCCGTAGCATGAAATGGTACGCGACTTGAATTAATGACAATATATTTTTACATTCTCATCAAAAATGAGAAAGTTTTGGATTTGTGCGATTTTGAGAAATTTCTAATTTTGATAAATCTTTACGTTTCATGACCCCCTGATTCCAAAAAAATGGTTTTTAGAGAAGTGTCTGTCTGTCGATCTGTGTGTCTGTCTGTCTGTAGAAAATTTTGTCTCGACGATAACTCGAATAAATTTTAATGAATCGACTTGCAATTTGGGGTGCTTTTTTAGTCCATTAAAATGAAGCCTGAGTTCGTTGGACAGCTCATTTCGTCAAAAAACGACAAAAATACAAAACTTTTTTTTGTATTTTTGACAATTTTCAAAAAAATATTTTTTCTAATTTTTTCCTTAAAATTTGTACAAAAACAAACAACTTTTCCTTTAGATACTTTTTTGTACAACAAAAAACAAAAAAGTTATAAATTTTTTTTTTTTTTAAGTTTTTGGTCCAGGTTTATTTTTGAAGTTTTTGGGTCAGGTATAGCCAAACGGTTTATCTAGAACTAAAAAATTTTATTTTTAATTTAAAATATTTTTACATTGTCATCACATGAGAAGATATTATATTTGGTGGAAAACTGACTCTTGCTAATTGTATGAAATCTTTGCGTTTTGAGGTTCCCTGAATTCAAAAAACATGGTTTGGCGATTACGTCTATCTGTAAGCCTGTCTGTCCGTCTGTCCGTAGACAAAAACTTTGTTCCGACTATAACTTTTGAAAAATTTAATTTTTTAAAAGTTTTTTCGAATTTTTGTCTCATCTCAGTGGAGGTGATTTATTTTTTCATGTTGAAACGACGTGCAAATTTTGGAGGATTGTTTTTATTCTAGCTCTTAGTTCAAAATTTTTTTTGAAATTCTGTGCTATTTTTTATTATTATGTTCTAATTTGGGTATCCTACCTTTGCTTTGCTTACAATTTTTTAAGCAAAGAATACACGTTATTACCTGAAGTAATTCTCATACTTTTGAAAATGACCTTTAAAATAATAAGAGAAGCATTAGAAAACGTTTACTATTTTATAAGTTATTCAAATATTTGTATAGCATTAAAAATGGCGATTTTTTCAAAATCTCTGAGTGAATTTCTTGTTTAAGCTCAAAATAACATATAATAACAATATTTGTTAATATATTTAATAAATTATGTATAAAATAATATATTATAATATTCTATAAAATTTAAATATTTCTTTACAAAAATAAATTTCATCCTTTCTGAAGGACGGTTGCCGTACTGCCGACAAGACGCCGTATTGTGCAGAGAGGCGCGTCCTGCCGGAAGTCTCTTCCAAAAGTTTAGGCGCTTGAACGTTCTCTTAAAAAAATCATGCAGAAAATTCATCTAATTGTTCATTTTTAAATCTTCAGTAAATTTAACGTTTTTCTTATAAGAATTAAACTATCAAATCCACTGTATCCAGATTTACTTGTTTTTAATCATATATTTATATTTACAAATCACGTATATATAGGGGGAACAGGACATAATGGCTAAGGGGCGTAATGAATAATTGTAATTTATTTAAAAATCGTAAATCGAAATGATTTCGTTCCGAACACAACTTGATGTACTGCAAGTTTCTACAAAGTTTGATTATTTATTATTCAATCACTATTGTAAGAAATATAGTAGAAAAACTGTATTTCACATATGAAAGTAACTTTTCAAAATTTTCATTTTTTCGTTCTAATTTTTTTAAAATAACTAATAACTTTTTTTTAAAAAGAAACTAAAATCGCGTTTTAAGCTTGAAACATATTTTGAGGGTCAATTTGAGATTTTTGATTAACACTTACTGTATTGATAAAAATTACAAAATATTTTCCAAGTACCCCTAGGGCGAGTTGGATAATGCAACACGCTATGCATAAAGAGCAACCTACGATACCTACGAAGTGTACGTTCATTGTAGAAACAAATGTAAGAGTAATATACCCAGGCGGAAATTTCCCACTGGCGGGGTACCGCGCCTGTACAGACGTCGGTAAGACTGTACTGGCATGGATCCGCCTGACGACCGGAGCGGTTCAGACATTGTACTGGAACCTGACAATGTGTTGTAGTGGCTGCGCGCCTGGCTCGGTACAGATTTGATGCCGCCTAACAACCGGCGTTGTACCGGCATTCGTCCGTCTGGCAACCAGGACGGGCCAAATTTTGTTCCGAAACATGACTTTCTACTGGCGTTCTACTGGCATTCGTCCGCCTAGCAAGCGACGCAGGCCAAATTATATTCTCTATTGAAAAATAAAATAAAAAAAAATATTTAATTAACTATGCATGGTGCATGTTAATTAACATTTATTTATAGATCGTTTGAAGCATTTTTTACACATTTTACATTTTTTTACACATTAAAATTCTAAACGCTCGCAGTGGGATACGAAGCCCAAGCGCCTATCCTAATCTACGCACCGAAGTCTAATACGCTAACCACTACGCTATTCGCTCGCTTGCGGATGTGAGCATAACAACGCCAATATACAATACCGCTAAACAAAACTTATATATAAAGTGAATAATAATTTTTACTCAAATATTTTTCAATATTTTAGCATTTTATTTATATTATGCAAATAAATTTAAAGTTTTATTACATTTTTATTTAATCTTCAATGTTTTTGATATTTATCATTATTTTATTATTTAGGAATAATTAGTTGAACTTTATAACTATTCACTTTATAACTATTCGAAATCAATACAAAATTAACTAAAATAAACATTTGTAACTTACTGCGTTTCATTTATACTTTATAACTGTTTTTAAAGAAGAGAAAAAGATGAATGTAATTAATTTGAAAGAAATATTAAATATTAATTAACATTCACCTTGCATAGTTAATTAAACATTTCTTTTATTTGAATTTTTAATAAAGAATATAATTTGGCCCGCGCTGGTTGCTAGACGGACGGATGCCAGTACAACGCCGGGTGTTTGGCGGGCTGAAACCTGCACCGAGCTGGACGCATTTTGCAATAGAATGACAGAGCGAATGTACTTTCGACTCTTTAAAAATTATTAATACAAAAAATGTTTAAAGCATGATGGATTAAATTTATTATTATTAATTTTTATTATAAAAAATAGCAAAACTTGTCAGATTTTAAAAGATATTTGGGGTAAGATGTTTAAAAGCGCATTTATAAAAAAAATTATCCAATATAAAAATAAAACTAATTTGAAAACTAGTAACAATTACTATATTCTAAGCATACACGGAGAGAAAAAAAAAGAGAGCCGTTTGATTTGGCAAGAGAGCGTTGTTTTTCCTTTAAGTCGGTTCTATAATGAGCACGGTCGTTCGTGTTCGCTGTCGTGAACGTGTACGCGTTCCAAGTCGGTTCTACAATGAGCACGGTTGTTCGTGTTCGCTATCGTGAACGTATACGTGCTCTATGCTAAACTATATGAAGTCGGTTCTACAATGGGCACGTCGGACGTGGTCGTCTGACGTGCCGTTCTGACGTCACCCATGCTATTCAAATGGGTGACGTCAGCACGGTACGTTAGACGACCACGTCTGACGTGCCCATTGTAGAACCGACTTCAAGTCGGTTCTACAATGAGCACGGTCGTTCGTGTTCGCTGTCGTGAACGTGTACGCGTTCCAAGTCGGTTCTACAATGGGCACGTCGGACGTGGTCGTCTGACGTGCCGTTCTGACGTCACCCATGCTATTCAAATGGGTGACGTCAGCACGGTACGTTAGACGACCACGTCTGACGTGCCCATTGTAGAACCGACTTCAAGTCGGTTCTACAATGAGCACGGTCGTTCGTGTTCGCTGTCGTGAACGTGTACGCGTTCCATTTAGTTTAGCATGGAGCACGTACACGTTCACGATAGCGAACACGAACAACCGTGCTCATTGTAGAACCGACTTGGAACGCGTACACGTTCACGACAGCGAACACGAACGACCGTGCTCATTGTAGAACCGACTTCATATAGTTTAGCATAGAAAAAAAAAAAAAGGAACCGTTCTCCCCTCGAGAGTAAGCAGCGTGCTTAACCTCAAGTTGAACGGCTGTTTCGCATTTAACGCAACCGCTCTACCGACAGGTAGAGCCGCTTACTTTTCTTTCTCTCCGTGTATTCTTATTAATAAATTAATTAATTAATAATTTTTAATTCACTTATTTATTAATTTATTATCAATAAATAAACAAATAAGTAATATTAAATAAATCCAATCAAATTTATTTAATATTACTTATAATTTATTTATAATAAATCAATAAATAAGTAAGTAAATTAAATTAATTAATATATTAATAATAAGATAAATTATATAGTTCTCAGTCGGTAGAATGCCTGTACCGCTCGGGTCGTTAGACGGACGAATGCCAGTACAACGCCGGTTGCGAGGTGGTATAAATTTTGATCCGGCGGTCGGATCAAATCTTGTACCGCTCCTGTACTTCCGGCAGTAGAAAGACTGTACCGATAGTCGGATCCGACTTTGTACCGCGCCAGTAGAAATTCTCATCCGAATCGGTACAGACTGCCTGCACTGGCATTGACTCTCCAATTCAACCGGCGCGGGCGCTAGACGGTTGGACGATCTGGTATTCGTCTCACTTTTCCGCCTGAGTAGGGACGTTCGTTTTTTTAAAAGAAAGCTGAGATACCAGAGTAACTTTTCTAGGAGATGTCCGAGTAAATCAACAAAGAGTGAAAAGTTAGCCATTCCGCTACGCTCTACACTACACAAAAAACTTATAATAATACTAATACTTTAAGAATATTTTAGCTGCTTCTGCAAATCATGTTTCTGCTAAGAGAGTTAGTAGAATTAAAAATAACTTCACAATTTTATCATCAAGACCAAAAATATACATTTAAATGCACTTAATCTCGCAATCATCAGCAAACAAAAACAAGTGATGAGAATGTAATCCTTAAAGTCGTAGTAACTTTAAGAAAAAAAATGTTTTATGAAACATATAATAGGAAACAAGAACACAATATAATAATGCACAATAATTGCAGACCACCGCGAGCGAAGCGAGCCATTTGCGCGCGAAGCGCGCAACAACACACGGAGCGCGAATATTATGAACTTTTCATAATATAGTTCGTAAATTTTAGAGAAAGGTAAAGTTGAACTTAATATCTTAACCTTACGACACCATTAAAGTTACAACAGGTGCATCTTAACAACAAATAAATATTATCAAGTAGACTTTAAATCATAATCTCTTAGTAAATCTGTTATTAAAGTAAATGTTCCTATATGAAGGTATAGTATGTATAATCGGTCAATATTCTGCTGCCACATAAAAATTTTCCAATATCTCTAATGCATCTCCAACTCAAACTTTTGATGACAATAAAAGCAATTGAAGAACGATTTTCCGTTAGGCACCGGACCAACACCTTGACAGAAAACCAAAAAGACGGATAGTTGAAGATACAATAATTTATGATCTTCATAACCAATATTTGTCCATATTTTGAACTCCTATATATACAAACAAACAATTTTCAAAAAAAAACTACTCAAATAATTAAAAATTTTTAGGGGACTAAATTCTTAAAATTTATTAAACTTACTTCAAACTTGTTACTCGGGGGTTTTTGGGGTCGCTGATCATGAGTCTGAAGCAGGCGCGGATCCAGGGGGGCCACAGTGGCATGCTCCCCCAAGAATTCAAACTTCCTGGAATTTTTTAAATAAAAATTTCATTCATAATAGGTCATCCCTCCCTAGGGGTTTCAAGACCTTGCCGTTGGTGGGGGGCGCACGAGGGGCTTTACCCAGTGGGAGGCTACTTCTCGATATCTCTCATGGGGACTGAGGGGGCGATCCCTTCAAAATGGGTCGGCCGCTACAGAAACCGAATCTTTTGTGTTTCGCTGGGCAGTGTCCCATGGCACGGGGATTTAGAGAGATATCGAGAGAGACGGGATGGACAGAGGCTTAACCGCGGGTCCATTCCGAAGACTTCCTACTGGTGGAAGTCTGACCAAGAAGAAACCCTTCCATGGTTACGTTGGCTGTGCCATGGCGATTGAGGCGCGAGTCTCTGCCACCCAATCCGTGATGAACTCGTGTCCATGGATGAATGATACTAGGGTTAACAAATCCGTCGGGTTCTTCCGTGGGGAGGGGGTTGGACGGGGGACGACCTTTGCTGGGCACAATTAACCGTAAACCGTAAAGCTCGGGAACAGTTGTGTTACAAAAAGGGCCCGTCTTCTGGACGACCCGTCCCCGGGGTGGGGCTCGAATGGAGGTATCTTGAACGAGACTCTGAGATACCAGGCGAACTTTCAGATGTAATTTAGCCTTTTCCTTAAATAGAGGCTCTTTAAGGATTGACCTTTCTTTCCTCTTTTCTCGTGGGACCATAATTGATACTACAGAAATTAATAAAAATAAAACCACACACGTGAGCGTCGAAGAGCCCTTTTTGGGGGATCACGATGCTGGCGATCAAGGTGTGGACGCGACAGAGGGGACCATGAGTCAGTCTTAAATATAACTGCTTCCGGGATCCACTGTATGCAGATTAACTTGCATCATTGTAAAGGCGCTTCGGCGATTCTAGCCAGGAACTTTGCAAGGATGCAGGCAGCTATAGCCTTTGTTCAAGAACCTTGGGTTTACAAGGGTAAGATTAGAGGTCTAAGTGGCTGTGGGATGCTAGTTAGTTCACCACAGGAACCAGTTCCAAGGGCTTGCCTGATCTATAAAGGTCTAGATGCTTTCCCTCTATTGGAATTAACTACCAGGGACTTAAGCCTTTTGTTGATAAGGCTAAGTACCTAGAAAAGAACGGAAATAAAAGGGAGGTTGTAGTAGCTTCCGCATATTTTCCGAGATCGGGGGATGACCCCGCACCACCTACAGAGGTGGAGAAGTTGGTAGATTACTGTCAACGGCAAGGTCTCCCTTTGATAATAGGTTGTGATGCCAATGCGCACCATGTCGTATGGGGCAGCACTGACATTAACGACAGAGGCAGAAGACTTTTAGATTTTCTGATAGATACAGATTTAGATATTTTAAATCAGGGTAATGAGCCGACTTTCGTTACTGTTAACAGAAAAGAGGTGTTGGATATTACGATCTGTTCCAAGTCTTTGTGTGATGGCGTGAGGGACTGGAGGGTGTCTGATGAAGATTCCCTCTCGGACCACAGGCTTATAACGTTTAGATTGGAATCGAAGGATCGGGAACAGGCGTAGGGACGTAATCCCAGGAGTACTGACTGGGCTTCATATATTGAAGACCTCAAGACCTCCATGGCATGCTTCCCCACTTCGTATGGAACGCGGGAGGAGTTGGAACTTGCAACGGAATACCTGCGAGATTCTATTATCTGCTCCTTCGAAAGGAACTGTGTAGTTAAGAAAATAGGCTTCAATGGGGGTAGTGAGTGGTGGACCCCCCGTTTGGAGGAACATAGAAAACAGTAAGAAAGCTTTTTAATAAAGCCAAGAAACGTAGGCATCAGCGAGCATGGGATGAATATCATACCGCTCGCGATTTTTACAAGAAAGAAGTAGAGAGGACAAGGAGTGTCAGCTGGAGAAGTTTTTGCGAAGGAATCGAGAGGGTACCAGAAGCATCAAGACTTCATAAAGTACTAGCTCGAGACCCAATGGCAAAATTAACTACTATTAAGCTGCCCATTGTCAGTATGTCCAGGATAAAAGGGAGTGTATAAAGCACCTAATGGAGGTAACTTCCCGGACTTTAGAGAAGGTTCGGAGAACAGCCATGGCATAGGACCAGGTGGACCGCCTACGCTTTTTTTCTAAAAAATTCTTTATGAAAGCAAATTAATCGGAGGTTTCTATTCCAAGCTTTAGCTTAAATCCTTAGATAAGTGTTTATACCATAATAGCTTTGATTTTTTTATTAGAAAAAACAATTGACTTTTAAAAAAAGCTAATTTTTAAGGAATGAAAAAAGTTTCACCTTAAGTGGACCACTCCTAAAAAATTGTAAAAGTTATTCTAAATTCTTTAATGTATTTAATATTTCTGATATATTGAAACAAAATTTATGCTTATGCAGCTTCAGACCATGTATGTGTCGCAATGTTAACAAGTGAAACCATTTTTAATAATTTTGTCACATATCACATCAATATCACAAAAAAATTAATAAAGAACATAAATCATAGTTTCAAACTAATTTATTGTCAATTTATATCTAAAAAATGTTAAACTGACATTAAAAATGGAAAAAACAGGCAGTCCACTCATGGTTATAAACAGTGGTCCACTCATGGTGACAAACAACTTTTTATGGCAGCCATCACAATTTTTTTTTAGTCAAAATTATCACTAAATTAAACTAAGGCAATCAATTTCAATGTCCAAAGTAGTAGGAAAAAAATAAGTTACCTTTTAAAACTTAAATTTTACACTACTTTTACACTTCCAAATAACTTTACTCATTGTAAGAGCGACTTCTTTTTTGGTTTGTGTTCTTAAAAATGCGTTACATCAAACGATAACGTATATGATTATCGCGGAACTTAATTTCTTACGGTTTCTAGGTGCGGTGCTGCTATTCGCACTATTTATTTCACGTTTCCGCTGTCAGATAACTTAAAAGCTCAGGCGGTCCACTCAAGGTAACATTACCCTATGGGAAATTCCACGTGAGATTTTAGTCGACAGTGGGATTTTTTTACAATTAACTTTTTAAAACTATCTACAGCGTAGACCCTTTAATTAAAAACAAAGAACACAAATAGATTAAAATTTATACGCTGCAGACAGTTCTAAAAAGTTAATTGTAAAAATATCCCATGTGATGCTTGCAAGTAATTTTTGAAAATGTTTTAAAACTCATTGAACACATCAGGCCCATTTCGGGACTTTTTGGAAACTCTCCTCTATATTATAAGGTATAAATAAATTTTAAAAAAAATTTTTAAAATCCGGCCTAAAGTTAAAAACAATTAATTTGTTTATAAAAAAAAATTTTGTTACATTTCTTAAAACTTGAAAGAAAACTAAAACTTTCATTTTTTGACAACTTTTTCCTAAACTCAATATTTTCGGAATTATAAGCTACTGAATATAAGTCTACAATTACAAGTCAAAAATTTCGAAAATTCATAACTCGAAAATTTGTACAATGAAACAAAAATAAAAAAATACGAATCTAATTTGTTTCGATACAGAATAGAAACAAAATATTTTTTGGCCGATTTTAAGAGATGGACTTAAATCTAACGTGGAATTGCCCATATATATGTTTTTTTCAAAAAAAGAATCAGCTACGATTTTCGGAAATGAAAATTTGGAATCTGGGGACGATTCCAGATAAAACTGCGTTAGCACAATTTTTACTCATTTTAGGTAAACCTAAAAGTGCTTGAAGACCACCGTATAGCGGGAAAACTGGAAACTAGCAGCCAGGATCGTAAGTCCGGAAGGGATTGATTGGGCAATAAGCACTTTCAAACCATTTAAGGCTTCAGGGGGGACGGTATATATCCGGTTCTTTTGCAAAAGGGATTGGAGTGTATTAGAGTACCCCTGTGTAAAATTATGAGAGCGTATATAGCTCTTGGTTACACACCGGAGTCTTGGAAAAAGACGAGGGTTGTGTTTATTCCGAAGGCCGGTCGGTCAGGTTAAACTGCGGTAGGTAGAATAGAGGGACAAATCAGCAGTGGTGGCTATGCGGTTGGTACCTTTCTTGATATCGAAGGTGCCTTCCCTAACACCTCTAGCAAAGCTATCTGTAGGACAGCCAGGATGCGAGGTGTGCCCGAGCCGCTAGTTAAGTGGATCGACAGCATGCTTCGCGAAAGGGCCCTTGAAGCGAAGTATGGTGAGGCTAAGGTAACAGGCCTTGTCTCAAAAGGGTGCCCACAAGGAGTCCTTTCTCGTTTATTGTGGTGCTTAGTGGCAGATGAGTTAATTAGAAACCTCAATAGCCAGGGATATTATACGCAAAGTTATGCGGATGATTTCCTTATAATTATAAGAGGGCACTCAATTGAGACCCTCTTAGAACTTACGGAACGTGCACTTAAGATTGTCAAGGATTGGTTCAATCTGACTAGACTTTCTGTAAACCCAGAGAAAACGAATATAGTAGTTTTCACAAGAAAATATAAGGTACCGAGTTTGAAGAAACCGATATTTTATGGAAAAGAAATTTCTTTTTCTGAATCGGCTAAGTATCTGGGAGTAATCCTGGATAAAAAGTTGATTTGAAGGGAACATTTTGAATATCAGTATAGAAGGTTCTGTACTGCTTTTTGGGCGTGTAGAAGGGCGATAGGGTCATCGTCAACTGGCTCTATCAAATGATCTTAAAACCCAGGTTTCTTCACGCGGTGGTTGATTGGTGGTCTAGGACTCAACTGATAACGGTTAAAGAGAAACTGGACCAACTGCAAGCAATGATTTTCAGGGGTATTACGGGAGCTATGAGAACCACGCCAACAGCTGCGTTGGGATTCATGCTAGCCAAAGTACCTCTGCATATTGCCGCGGTGAAAAAGGCGGCTCTTACTATGAGCAGGTTAACCGCGCAGGGAATGTGGAAGGTTGGTGGTATACACACCAAGTTTCCACGCTCAATTCTATCAATACCAGAATTAAGTATGGTGCAAGATAGAATGATCAAGAGGGTGAAATTTAAACCCAGCTTTAAGATCATTACACCTTCCAGAATGGACTGGAAGAAAGGTTTTCCACTTGGGGACGATGTCTGGTATACAGACGGGTCCAAAATGGACTGCGGTGCAGGCTTCGGAATCTATCGAAAAACTGGCTGCATTAAAGTGGCTGAGTCACTAGGACAATATGCCACAGTCTGGCAGACAGAGGTCTGTGCGATTTGAACTTGCGCCCAAATATCCATTCGAAATGGAACAAAGGACAAGAGGATTAGTATTTGTGTGGATAGTCAGGCGGCCTTGTGGGCTTTGAAAAATCACACAATAGAATCAAAACTCGTCTGGGAATGCCGCAGCGTACTAGATGAGTTGGGTTCAGCAAATAAACTTTCATTGATTTGGGTACCGGGTCACTTGGGAATCAAGGGTAATGAAAGAGTAGACGTCTTGGCGAAAATCGGTTTCGAGACGGAATTTATAGGTCCTGAACCAGCAGTGGCAATAATGCCGTGCTTGGTCATGGACTATTGAATTACCATCAGCATAAAATAGGCAGACAAGTTTCACCTATGTGCAGACTGTGTGGGGAGAGTAACGAAACTTTGACTCACATATTATCTGAATGCCCAGCGCTAGCTAGGATCAGGCTATCTAGTTGGGGTCAAGCAATTATTGACCCTAAATAGGTGAGCAACCTATCGATAGAAGAGATACTGGACTTCTGGAGAAGAACAGGACTCTAAAGGGTTGCTATAAACGAGCGAGCTGGAGTCTAGTACAATGGGTTTTATAACCTAGGTGCTTACTTTCCCCTCTTGAGGAAAATCCAGCTCGATCTCGGTTGTTAGATTAGATTAGGTTAATAGGTCATCAAGCTAGCGTCTAGCAGATGGCCCCCCTCAAGAACCTTGTCTGGATCCACCCCTGGTCTGAAGTCAGTTTTTTAAAATTCAAAATGGTAAATCTAATGTAGTGAACGGAATTCTTAAAATTTTTCCATATTTTTCAAATTTCTCTATATTGCTTCCTCATGAAGGAAGTATTGTAATACCAAAATTTTTTAAGCTCGATTTCTTGACATATTTTTATGTTATTTGACCTCAGAAGGTCAAAAATTTCATTTCTAAAAAATGTCATTCCGTATATGTGGCATTCCACCTCAAGTGATCCGGATCCAAAGTTGAAATAAATTTAAAAATTTTGGTCCGCCATATAGGATCCGACATTTTGAATTTTGAAAATTTGATTTTAGATTCGTAATCAGGGACCCTCAAAGCTTTTAAGAGGAATCGAATTAACAAAATTAGTAAAGAATTATTAAATATATCTACAATTTGTTAAAATTCAATAATTTTTTTGTAAAGATTAAGACCGTGCAAAAAAATCTACGTAGCTTAAACTAAAAAGATCACACCTATGTCTTAAACCCTATTATATAAGCTGTATTTTAAGCGCAGTCTCTTGTCGATGAGATAAAAATTACGCCGGAGAAAGAATTTTGAAGTCATTTTTGTCATTTTCGCCCACTGTGCGCCTGGGGAATCAAATCAATATTAGACTTGCCGGACCGACACGGGTCTGCCCATTATCATCGGTACGCTACTGCTCTACGAGAAAGCCCAGGCTAGCCATGAGCAGCAGTGGCCTTCCGAGCCCCCTTTAGTCGCTAGGGCGTTGGCTAGGATCAGACATTCTAGCTAGGGCCAAGCAATTATTGACACTGAACAGGTTTACAACTTATCGATAGAAAAGGTATTAGATTTCTGGTGGAAAACAGGAATCTAAATAAGTTGAATTAAGAAGAGCGAACCGGAGATTGGTATAATGGGTTAATACCTGAAGTCCCTACTTTCAGTACGAAAACTCGAGTTCATGCTCAGTTAATTGGATTATATTAGATGTTTTAAGATTTGTGTCTATAAATTTCTAAGTTGATACGGTGAAAAATAAATGAGATATACAGCACGAAGCGGAGACGTGCCAGTTCGTTCTAGACTAGGCAGCAGCCCCATCATACAGTAGGTGTTTCCTTTCATCTTCCTCTTTATTATTTCGGGTTTTTTTACCTGTTCTCAGATGTCCACAGATTTTCAAGATAGAGGCGATGACGCGAATAGGAAATTTCATTTTAACTGTGAACATGAATCACAAAAAATCGAGAGTTTATTTTGGACAAAGAAGTAAGTCTTCAAATCTGTATAAACCCAAAAAAAGTTTCTTTTGATATCATATTTAAAATGAGGAAATATTCGATAAAGAAGCTGAGTTACAATTTATTTATTTATTTAGAGTATTTATTTATTTATTTATTTGATGTAACATTACTTTCCATGACAGTTTTAAAGTGATGTAGTGCTCACTTAGTTCGGCGATCATAATTTTAAAAAGTTACCGTGCGTTAAGGAACAAGATTTTGCTCTTATTCCAATTCTACTTCAATTTTTTTTCTTCGGTTTAGTTAATATTTATTAATATTAATTTTCTTCAAACAGATCACAATACTCATAGGTTATATCTCCACGACTAAGAATATTTATATTTTTCCTAGTCCTTTTATGGTGGCGAGGTTTATCACTAAAGGACATTCAATAACCTATAAAGTTATATTTTTTGTATTTCATAAAAAACTGTTTTTCCAGTTCATTTATTTATTATATAAAACTGCAAGTTACTTCTATAAAGTAGACTTTTTTTAAAAGGGTAGTTTTCAGTAGAGATTCACTTGCAAAGTATAGGACTTGTAATTATGCCAATTAGGTCATCCACAGACGAATAATCCATTAAAAGTATAGTACATATATAGATACACCTTTCGTGTGTAGTTTTATATACTTTCTCATTTCAGTGTAAATAAACAAAGAATCCATACAACTACTGCATTTATTTAGCACCTCCCGAAGTTAAAATAACTTACAAGGACAAATTTCTCCAGTCCCCAGATTTTGCTTCAGGCTATTTCCAAAAAACCTGGTAATTGCTATTATAACTAGAAACACTTCAAACATCTCTACAGAAAATAAGACATTTTTCTATTTTTCATTTTAACAAGGAGAAGAAACTTGGCTAAAAAATTCAAAAATCCGTACTAAACTTTGTCAAATATTTGCAGATGTATTATAAATTGTAATAATTCTATTCTACTGTAAAGAAGGAATAAGTGTCTAATTGTTAATTGTACAAAGCCGTTCTTTTAAAGATTGACAGAGTGAATGCACTTTGCAAATAAAGTGTATTAACCATAATAATCCCTTTTAATAAATCCAGTTAGGAGAAAACGGAAAGTGCGAGAATTGAGAGAAGATGAAACACTAAAATAGGTAGAAATGGTACAAGCATCGACGTTTCAACTTTGTAAAACGGAATGGCACTGGCAGGATTTGAAAAGACTACTAGTACTACTAACAAGCCACCTTTGTTTATGTTAAATTCGTTATCAAACAGAAGTGCCAGCAATAGTGAAAATATACTCGTCACTGCCCGTAGAAAATGGCGAAAGATTAAGAAGACAGTGATATCAAGGGAGAAAAATGCAACAGCGACAGGTAACTTGTAAACTATTATAGAAACACACTAAAAAAAGTTTTACTTTCAGCCTCTTTTTGAGGATGAATTTAAGATGTAAACGGAGTCAGCCCCATTAAACAAGGACAGACTTATGTGAAATACATGGGCTGAATATAAGGTGTAAACGGAGTCAGGCTTTTTTTTCCTGTAAACGAATCACAACTGTTGTCATTAAAATTTACTTTTTACTAAATTACTAGGTCTCCGTACATAAAACCCATAACCGCCCTACACAAACCTCCTGATATATATTTTAATTAGTCTTCCAGAATGTTAGTGAATTGTATATAAGTTTTGTTTCATTTCATTAACTATTATTACAGTGTTGTTCGTAATTATTAAAACCGATTGTAAAAATTTCATTTTTCGCTTACGCAGCGTTCTTAAAAATTGATAATTTGTTTCTTACTAACAATGCTTTAGTTCTTTATGTTTTCCTTAAATGCATACATATTGTAATTATTGCGCAACATAACGTAATCCGCAGAAAAAATTATTATCTTTTTACATTGCCTATTTTTGGTGTTCAAAACTATTCGAACGGCTGTTAAAGAAAGTCTTAATTACGTAAGTATTCACCAGATTTCTTTTCAATTCGTAATTTTTACATTTTACATCGCATTTAATGAAACAAATTAATTGTAGGGTGTGTGAATTTATCAGGACAATAGATAATGCCCAAGAGTTTAGAAATTTCTTCTGATCTTCGCCATCGCATCATAGAAGACCGAAATGATGGATGGATTGTCGTATGCAAACCTAGCAAAAAAGTATAAATTATCAAAATTGTGCGACCGCTCACACCTCGAGGTATTAAAAAACACACCCGCACAAAAACAGTGATAACTTCGTCAAAAATGAATGTAGATGCTTTTTTAAATTGCATGAGAAAGCTTTTTAAATTTTCAATAAAAAGATACATACATACATACATACATGCATACACGGAAAAAAATAGTGTGCTAAAAACACATGAGCGAAACTGTTGTGTATATTGCACGCACGTTGGGTATATTCACGCACACTACCATGCGTGATTTGCTTGGAATCCATCCTATTTTCGCATGGTGCCTTAGCGAAAGCCACATGAGCCATGGCTTTTACTACAACACCATGCGAAAATAGGATGGATTCCAAGCAAATCACGCATGGTAGTGTGCGTGCAATATACGCAACAGTTCGCTATGTGTGTTTTTAGCACACTATTTTTTCCGTGTAAATAGGAAGCGAGGTATCATGTTATAAACACAAAAAAAATTAGATTTTTTTTAAATTTCTTACCCTGACTTTGACTCCTGGCAAAATTAAGAAAAGTTAATGAAGAAAATTGTTACTTTTACAGACTATTCCTTTTAATCTAAGCTATAAATAGAGACCAAGAACAGCCAAAAATATTAACGGGTTCCAGAGATATTACAACCATCGACTCCTCTAATTTTCTGTTGAGTTAGTTGGGTGGCTGTGAAAGTCAGGGTCAAAAATTAATTTTTTCTAACACACGCACGGAAAGTACCTCATTTCTTATCTGTGCAGAGGGTGGAAAGTATGTCTTTTCCGACAAGAAGGAGGGAATGTTACTTTTCCTCCCTGTGACGTCATAACGGGGAGAGAAAAGTACTTTACCTCCCTGTCGTCCAAAATCACATGTAAATATATTATAATAACAATGTAAAGATAAAAAGTATCTTTATTTACGACTAAATATATGTTTTATTGAAAATTGTTAAATAATTAATCATTTTAAAAAATTATACTATTATTATAATAAACTTTCGGTTGAAAAAACTATTGTCGTTAAAATTTTTTATGATGTGGTTGTTAATCCTTACTGAGATCCACTTTTTAAATATAATTGTATAATAAATTAATTTAAAGACCTAAATGTTTCAGGTTTAACAGTTCGCCGTAGAATAAGAAAATCTGGATTAAACAGTCGCATCCAAAGAAAAAAGCCGTATATTTAATAA